GAGGTGTACAACTGGGGGAATCAATGGAGGAGAAGGATCTGGGAGTTCTGGAAGATCACAAGCTTAATAATGGCATGCAATGCCAAGCTGCGGTTTATAAAGCGAGCAAAATCCTCTCTTGTATTAAAAGAGGTATAGACTCCAGAGAGAGAGATATCATATTACCCCGGTACAAATCATTAGTAACACCTCATCTGGAATATGCAGTTCAGTTTTGGGCACCAATTCACAAAAAGAACATTGGGGAACTGGAGAAAGTACAGAGAAGGGCAACCAAACTGATAAGAGGCATGGAGGAGCTCAGCTATGAGGAAAGATTAGAGGAACTGAATTTATTCTCTCTTGAGAAGAGGAGATTAAGGGGGGATATGATCACCATGTATAAATACATCAGTGGTTCATATAGTGAACTCGGTGTAGAGCTATTCACCCTGAGGTCATCACAGAGGACAAGGGGGCACTCTTTACATCTGGAGGAAAAGAAATTTAATCTCCAAACACAGAAAGGTTTCTTCACAGTGAGAGCTGTGAAAATGTGGATAGACTCCCTCAAGAGTTGGTTCTGGCCAGCTCAGTGGATTGTTTTACAAAAGGCCTGGATTCTTTCCTAGATACACAGAATATAACTGGATACTAACATTTATAGATAACATTGATCCAGGGAGTATCCGATTGCCTCTCGGGGGATCAGGGAGGAATTTTTTTCCCTGCAGGAGCAAATTGGTTTCTGCCTTGCTGGGCTTTTTGCCTTCCTCTGGATCAGCTGTGGGTGTAGGAGTATAACTTTTTTTTTTAAATGGTTGAACTGGATGGACTTTTGTCTTTTTTCAGCCAGACTAACTATGTAACTATGTAAGTGCTACATAAGCCATATAGTAATTAAATGTTATTACAAATTTCCCTTTAGTTTTAAAGTCTGCAGCACTGTAATTTATTGTAAAAGTCAATGGCAACCTGGAGGTGTTCCATACACCCCCAGAAATTTCATTTCCTGCTTGTGTGATTGGCTCACTGTTTTATCATGTGTTGAGCCTTGGCTGTTTTTTTATATTTTGCCAACAATTAAAATGATCTTGGACTCTTTCATCTGGTTTTGGTTTCTGTATTTCCATGGCCGGCAGTGGAGAATGTAGCATGTATAACTAGCCTTACCCTCATGCTAAAATCACAACTTTAAATTAAGCATAGCCTTAGCGTGATGCTTACCCAAATTCTGCTATGTGCATTAACTCTTAGTCTACACTTCAGGTGGTAAGATACTGGCACCATCACTCCACTTATATATGGAAATCTTTATATACCTAACCTAAATATATGACTACTTTATAACTGTTCCCTCTGCAAGATAAGAAGGTTGTCTGACTAGCTTCAAGAAAAAAAATAAATCCTAACTCAAATGTCATCCTTTTTGCTAGAATAGACATAAAAATGGCTTATCAGGCATCTCTTTTTTTAGGAAGTTCAAAGGAGTTATCATTGTATTCTAAAGAGTTGAATAATGACAAATTACAGCCAGTGGTGCCTTGAATAATCCATTCTTGTATTTAAAGTTCACTTATAATAATATGACCTACAGTGATATGCTGAAAGGATCTGTCAAGTGTCTCGCAATTTGCATCTACTTGAAGAGCCCAGCAAAGCCTTTTTTGTCCTAAGTTCCAATGTTAATGATTGTAATTTGTTTCTCTATTAAAAACAGTTATAGGAATATATTAAAATACATTAGTCACACTGCAAAAGTTGTAGAAAAAAAAGTGAGAAAAGCAAGTTGTAGAAAAAATCTTTTACAGGATCTGAGTCATTAAATTGGAACTTCAGTTTTATGTAGAACAAAAATGATCACATCTGGGGGAATTATACACACATTGAAAGAATTTTAGTAAATTTGATTGCAGATCAATACCTGCTTCTGTTCTGGAGATCATGATGTGAGCTTTGTCAACACTTTCTAAAGCTAGATGATAAACAGGTAGGTTTGTCTTTATTATAACCACCTGATCGTCTGTTTTGCTTGTATGTTATCAGTAATATATATTACAAGGCAATGGAAAATGCTGTAGTATATTAATGTGCTTTTACACATATGCTATGTAACCTTCCTAGGAAATGAGCATTAACAATGGTCTGTATGCTATAGGAATACACTAAAAGTCACTTAGTTTTGGATTATCTCTGTAGAAAAACCAGGACTCCAGGCTACTCAAGTGATTGCAGATAACTGAGCTCTCTTGTGTTGTAGATTTAGTGTCATCCCCAGGTGAAATCCCCTCTGGAACAATCTTCTTTGGTATCATGAAGTCCCCCACTCATGTTGCTGACCTATTATTTAGAAAGTTTGGATAGGATTCTCCGTGATCCACAAAACTCTGACTCTAGTCCGCCTTAATGTTCTCCGTTCCTGGGAGGTATGAGGAAAGGATAAATTCCCTTCTGCTCAAAGGAAGATTTGACAGGATACTTTCAGGAAAGGTAAGCTTCTGGTGCCCGCTTGACAGGACAAGTAAGCCACTGTAGTCTGATTTTCTGAAAACACCTTCACCACGGACAGGGGCGGACTGACAACTCATGGGGCCCCCGGGCAATAGGGGATCATGGGGCCCCTGTGTCCTTGCCCAAACTCAAAAAAGTCTATGAAAAAGGTACCAGGAGCATCTCATGGGGCCCCGTACTGACCCCGGGCCCTCGGGCAGTGCCCAAGTTTCCAAATGGTCAGTCCGCCCCTGACCACAGATACTGGAACGCTAGCAGAGTGAATTGGGAAGCTACTAACTCTAGGCATATAGGAACTCTGCATAGTCTGCCTCTTCTAATGACCTTGAACCTGGTGACCAAAGCTGTGGGCTCTCCCAACCCACCAGCCTGGTTCTGGAGGCTTGAGAGTGACACTGCCTTTCTGATTGCGCAAACAGTCCATCAGGTTAATAAACGGGCTATCGGACCTGATATGAGGATCTTCTGGTCCAATACATGATGATCCCACTAGTGAAGGAAACTGAATTGAAACTTCCTTCTTCAGCATCTGACCCAAGGAACAACTGAGATGGTGGATAACAGAGGCCCAGGTACTGCATGCACTCTCTTGCCAACAAGCAAGACCTGCTCATTACTTCCCTCATCCGAGTCTGGATCTTTTGGACTTTCTTTTGGGGAAGAAAGATATAGCAGGAACTGTGTTGATTGCAGTTGACTCTTTTGATAGTTGACCATGGCGCCTCCTGCATGGAGTTTGCATGTTCTCCCTGTGCTTGCGTGGGTTTCCTCCGGGTGCTCCAGTTTCCTCCCACACTCCAAAGACATGCTGGTAGGTTAATTGGATCCTGTCTAAATTTGACCTAATATGTGTATGTATGAATGTAAGTTAGGGACCTTAGATTGTAAACCCCTTGAGGGTTAGGGGCTGATGTGAATGTTCAATATATATATGTGTAAAGCGCTGCGTAAATTGACAGCGCTATATAAGTACCTGAAATAAATAAATAAATAAATAAATTTAAGGAAAGTGCAAATTCAACAAGATGTGTGATATTGTCATATTGAGTCCTTAAAAGAGATAGGGAAAGAGATTTTAATAGTAGATTTTATTTTGTAACTCTGAAACTGTAAAAAAAAAAATCATGGCCAGCCCCATATAACTCCTATTTTGTAAATATGTCTAGAAAGCTTTACGACAAGCAGTATACGTCCACATGGAGTAGTGTAGGAGTCCAGTAATTGTCATATAGTAATATATGTGCATAGATAATTATTAGCCAAACAATATATCCCTGGGTCTCTGTATTCAGAAATCCAATGAAAGTACAGCTATGCTACTGTAGGAAGTGCAGAACCCATATTTCAAAAATTACTTATGTGTTTGTTATAAAATAGAAGTAGCAGTGGGATGAATAGGATAGAATATAGTGGGATATATACTGTATAACAGCTCCATTCCATGCGCGGGCAGCTCTTGGTTGATATTACACTCAGATGAACCTTTAGATGCAATCAACCATATGATAGAACAGATATACATTTGCTCCCATGTGTCAGTGGGTAGCTCTAGGTTGATATTACACTAAAATGAAGTTGTAGCAGCAAAAAAGCAAAGTTACTGTAGAAGCAAAGGCTGAGATGGTAGCAAAATAGCTGTAAATGCAGAAGCCATATATATTATGTTGCTATATGATATTAGATGATATACTGTAACTGAAGGTTTGATTCTACCTGTGGACAGTCATTAATGCAGTTGTGTAATAGTTCTGAAAATGGTATTCCCTCTTGTACTACAGTGCCAGAGTTAGATGTCCATAAAGATACATGAAATAATAAAAGCAAATATACTGATGTTGAAAAAATGTCTCCCATCTGATTGGGGCAGCCCTGGGTTGGCATATCTACAGCAGTATGTAATAACTCCAATGTGACATGTCTTAGGTTAACCTCCCTAGCGGTATGATTATTTCAGATTTTTGGTGCTGAAAGCGTTACCATTATTTTGCATGGAAATATGTCGCTTTTTTATTGTAGGCTGTAATTTTTAGGAATAACTGAAATCTGTCCGAACAAGAGTCTAGTAAACATCCCGGATATGATAAAATTTGAAACACGAAATCATAAATTATAATTTAATAAATAATCATAAATAATAATATAATAATAATACATTTAATTCAATAATATAATCAAACCAAAAACACTGAAATTTGAAATAGAGCGCCAAGTTCGCACATCGCTGAGCAAAGTCGCAAAATCGTTTTCAGTGTCTGATGACGAATTTCCCCACGAATCATTATCACTCAATTCTGCAAGTGGTTCTGATTTACTATTGCTGTTCTCTAGCTGGTCTAAAACCGATTTTGACCTAAAGGGACACTTTTTGGACGCCATGGACGTTTCTCAGTTTCCAGGCAGAAAGAACAGACAAAATGCAGACGGGACAAGACAAATCACTAGGGACAATATGTATGTGAAATGGGTTGAAAGAGCAATGTTTTACTATGAAAAATGTGTTTTGAAAAAAATGACTTTTTTTAAATTTTCAAATTTCTCGCCGCTGGCGGCGCCCGTACGTCTCGACGTCACAGGGACCGGAACACAGAAGCCAGATGCCGGCATCGGCCGGAGGAGATGGCTGGGGATGCTGCAGGGGACACATCGCGGGAGCGAAGGACAAGGTAAGCTCTGCAGGGACTCCCTATGCAGCGCCGCTTGGTAAGCCCGAGTGTAGCTCGGGGTTACCGCTTTTGGCACTGACATTTTACCCCGAGCTACACTCGGGAATACCGCTAGGGAGGTTAAGCACTGTACAGGCATGTACTTAGCTGGGGTCCAAAGTACTGGCAAGCTAGGAATCTGATACAGATGCACAGTCTTCTGTCCTCCATGACTACTATAAGGGGTCATGCATAGTGGGTTCAGCACATCCTCATTTCTACTACAGGTAACAATTAACAGACATAGCAGGAAGATATGGAATGTTTCTCTTATTGGAACAGGCACAAACAACAAAAAGTTAAAAGAGAAGTGTGAGAATTAAAAAAAAAATAAAACAAACAATCATGTACACCTAGGTGGATGCAGCATCAATCCATGTGGTACCTGTCCCCCGCCAACACTAAGACCAAGAACTGAGTGATCAAAGACCATTGATCGATCAGTTCTCAGCCTTCAGTGAACAGAGAGCCAGTGACTGTCATTCTCTGGCTCTCTGCTCTGCCCTTTCAGCGCTTACTGGAGCACCACTTACTGGAAGGGCCAGGAGTGGCCGGCTGAGGCTCGCAACGGAATGCTGAGAGGCTGAGCCATCAGTTAATCCAGGCATCTGTAACTGCACTGTAAAGTCGGGATCTTTCCTGAGCCTGGACTGGCTGAGTGATGTCAGCTGACAGTGGGCTTTAGCCGGCTGTCTGCTGAAAATGAGTCACAGAAGTGCAGAACGAAGTGCACTCCCATGATTCATAGGAGAAGTACAACTAAAAGAGCTTTGGCCATACCTCTCCTTTTATGTTTATATTGCTCTGACTTCCTTTCTCTTATGAAACCCACACCCTGTCACTGCTTGCCTTGTTGTTACCAGCACCAGAAATGAAGGAATGTCTCCCCAATGGGGACACTAACTCTTATCGAAAACTAAAAGAAAGAAAACGAAGCATGCATTCTCACTGTTGTGATGAGTTAGCACATTAACATGCTTTGCATTAAGGCGGTGCATTCAACTGAATGAGCTGCCTAAAGCACCAAAACATATAAAAAGGGGATTGCATTACATTATGTAATGCAACTCACCATACAAATTAAGAATGAATAGCACCACAGTGCAACAACATATATAACACAGTGCAGCAGTGTGAACCCGGCCTAAGTTTTTCTGTTAAAGCATATGTAAGCGCTAATATTACATTTCTCTTATTTGCTACATTTTGGTTTGTTAAATATACCACAGAAAGTATTTTATTTTACCTGTTCGACAAGTACAAAAAGAAATTGCTACTCATCTAGTCAGAAATCTTCTGATCTGATAACTTGCTTTACATCCCAGTCACACTGATCCCGACTCTAAAAAATTGTGCGACTTACAGTGAATTTGCATGATTTTAACCAGATGCCGCACGGCCTATAGCCAGATGGCGGCCAGACGAACAGCTTGTCCCACCGGGTAGATGCCATATGGCATCCTTTCAGGAACGTGCATTGCGCATGCCCACAGGGCCACGCTGTGGCGCAATCTGTCACCGGCCGTGTACCTCGGATGCGGCCAATGACAGATCTGTGTACTGGCCCCATTGCCAGTATCATCTGACCTGCTGTGACCAATCACAGCAGGTCACATGACAGTTGTCTACAATGGATGGCTTCCTTTCATGCCATCCATTGTATATAAGTGTGTCTAGCTGTGAATGGTCACAGCGATCACATGCACAAGCTGGGCCAATCACAGCCCAGCTGTGTCATGTGTTTAGCCATGGACAAATCACAGCTAAATTAATCAGTATTCGGCATCCCAAATTACTACAAAATATATAAACCAAACTTGTGTAAAAATCAAATAATCCAAAAAAGTCACACTTTCACCCTTGAAAGTAAATAATATTATAAACCTTTTTTGTGTTAGTCAATGCGTATAAAATAATAAAAATAATGTCCAAAATAAGTAAATCCTCTGTGTCCAACTTCAGTGTTCCCATAAATCCAGATCAGGTGAGTATCTCAAAAAAATTAAACTAAAATAGTGTATTACCTCAGTAACATTGGTATATACTTTACCAACCAATAAACATATACTTATAACAAATACGTGCAAAAAACAACCCAAGATTCAAAAACGTGAGTAACAGGTTAATCGTGAGCTCACTCTGTGTACACTATAAAATAAATAATTAAATAAATGTGACAAACAGTGTACACTCATAAACCAAAAATAAACCAAAAATATATAAATATATATACCAAAAATAAATTAATAAATGAAATAAATAATAGATAAATAAATAAAAATATAAAATAAATAAAGTATATTAAAGGTGAACACTCCATGAACACTTCTACAGGGCAAAAATGCATACAATTACCCTCTCAAGAGTAATTTCAAGCCTTAACAGAGAACACTCAGGTATTGTAGTTAGTTCTCAGACTGCTACTCCAGAATGCTATGTATGGGATTCCAATCCTTAACCTCCCTGGCGGTATGATTATTTCAGATTTTTGGTGCTGAAAGCGGTACCATTTTTTTGCATGGAAATATGTATTTTTTTTATTGTAGGCTGTAATTTTTAGGAAAAACTCACTGAAATCTGTCCGAACAAGAGTCTAGTAAACATCCCGGGTATGATAAAATTTGAAACACAAAATCATAAATTATAATTTAATAAATAATCATAAAAATAATATAAAAATAATAAAAAATTTAATTCAATAATATAATCAAACCAAAAACACTGAAATGTGAAATAGAGCGCAAAGTTCGCACATTGCTGAGCTCAGTCGCAAAATCGTTTTCAGTGTCTGATAACGAATTTCCCCCACGAATCATTATCACTCAATTCTGCAAGTGGTTCTGATTTACTATCGCTGTTCTCTAGCTGGTCTAAACCGCTTTTGACCTAAAGGGACACTTTTTGGACGCCATGGACATTTCTCAGTTTCCAGGCAGAAAGAACAGACAAAATGCAGGCAGGGCGCAGGACAAAGCACTAGGGACAATATGTATGTGAAATAGGTTGAAACAGCAATGTTTTACTGTGTAAAATGGAAAAAAAAAAAAAAATGACATTTTTTAAAATTTTTAAATTTCCCGCCGGCGGCGGCGGCGGCGGCGCCCGTACGTCCCGACGTCACAGGGACAGGACACAGAAGCCGGATGCCGGCATCGGCCGGAGGAGATGGCCGGGGACGCTGCAGGGGACACATCGTGGGAGCGCAGGGTAAGGTAAGTGAAGAACACATGCCGGAGCAGCGCCGCATGGTATTCCCGAGTGTAGCTCGGGGTTACCGCTTTTGGTACTGAAATGTTACCCCGAGCTACACTCGGGAATACCGCCAGGGAGGTTAAGGGAAGCCCTTATCACTCCATCATCCTCATGCAATAAGAGAGAAGAGCCCATGTAGCACAATATAGTGGATAAATAAACATTTAATATTCATGCTTACATTAGGGATAGTACAAACCGTCAATCAGTTCCCATGACTCAGCCTGAGCAGCTTGCTGGAACATTATAGAAGATTTTCCAATAGTCAAAATGGCTGCTCCGCCACTTTTGGTTTGCGGAATTACGTCAGACGTCACGTCCACTGACGCGTTTCGTCATTTCCGGACTTCTTCTGAAGGGATCCCTTTTGGGTGGAGCTCCGCTTTAATGCATTCTATACATAAATGTAAAAAAACCTTCTGGCTGCAGCTCCCCCCTCAACTCCCCTTATACTTACCTGAGCCCCATCTCAATCCAGTGATGTGCATAAGAGCCATGGCTCTCCTGGGTCTCTATCTCCTTATTGGCTCACACAGCATCAGGGGCCATTGGTTCCTGCTGCTGTCAATCACAGCCAGTGAGCCAATGACAAGATAGTGGGGAGGGGGCCAAGATGCGCTCTGTGTGTGACTGGACAATGTCCATTCACAGGCGCATGGCTCAGGAGGCTTGCTATTGGGAGCACTTGGCTGGGGGAGGAGACAGACCGCCAGGGGACCCAAAAAGAAGAGGATCGGGGCTGCTCTGTGCAAAACCATCACACAGAGCAGATAAGTATAACATGTTTGTTATGTTTTTGAAAAATAACTTTAAAGAAAATGGACCCTGCCACTGCTGATAATGACAACCGCTAAGCATCTCTAGGCTCGTTGTGTCATTCCATAATAGCAAATGCTAATTCTCATTTTCTAGTAGTAGTAGAAGATTTAAGCTGAATTAAAATTGTTTAATTTGCACAAGATGATTGTATTTTATTTTTGTAATGAGTGGCCATTATTATTTGCATGAAAAGTAGTGAGTTTTCTATTAGGATTGTTCGCTTTATTAAAACTTTGTGTATGTCATATGCAGTATGTATATAAGTATATGTACCTACAGTACAGGGGCGGACTGACAACTCATGGGGCCCCTGGGCAATAGGGGATCATGGGGCCCCTGTGTCCTTGCCCAAACTCAAAAAAGCCTATGAAAAAGGTACCAGGGGCTTCCATTGGGCCCCCTACTGCCCCCGGGCCCTCGGGCAGTGCCCGAGTTTCCAAATGGTCAGTCCGCCCCTGCTACAGTATATTCATTGCATACAAAGTGTGTGTTTATTTGAATATTTCTGGGAAGGTGGTCCATAGCTTTCTTCAGATTCTTAAAAGGGTCGTGACTCAAAAAAGATTAAGAACCACCTTAGATATTTCTTTACAGGTTCAACTTTCTTTTCTAAAGTACAGTATACGTAAATCCTAACATAAACATCTGTAATTTGGGTTATTTTGGACTGAGAAATACACTATTGAAAGTGTTCTGTTACATCTATTCAATACATAATATGAGTCCTGCCATAAATCCATTGAGCTCAGAACTTCTGGTGTTCTTTGCTTGTCCTGCACTGAATCTCAGTGTCATGTGTTCTGTGTCAAGCACCGCTCTATGCACTGACATACCTCTTTTAGGCTTCATGTACACTGGAAGCTGCTAAACTCGAGTTTAGCTTTTGGCATTTTTTTGCCAAAGCTCCTAAACCCAACTCTATAAAAGCCTATGTGCCCATGTACACATAGGCGTTTAGCAGAGTTTAAGAGCTGCTGCGTTTAGGTGAAGTTAAACCTCCCTCTTCTGAACGCAAAAGAATCGCATTCAGGATCGGAATGTTTTGACCGCTGACCATGGGAAAAACGCAAAACCACAGTTGCCACGTTTTGCGTTTCCCAGCGACCGGTGGTCAGAGTAGGCTCGTGTACATGAAGCCTTAGACCTCGGTCCATCCAGACAGTATGGTCACCTGCTGCCTTCCTTCTGCCTATTTAGTAAAATTGCATTACTATGTTTTATTGGAGAGTTAAGCTGTCTGTGGAAGATGCTTATTTAGTAGGTGACCACACTGGTCGACTGAGGTCTAAAGAAGGTATTCGGTGCATAGAGTAGTGCTTGAAACAGAACATACAAGGGAGGTGTGCACTGCCAAACAGGATAGGTGTGGGGCATGTAAAGAATGTTATTTAGATTCTATACTGTACAATTTTTTTTATAAGTACTTACCTGTTCATACTTGATAATTACTGATAACCTCTGGTTATCCTAACAAAGCCATGTGTGAAATGCATCAAAGTTGGCAGCCTCCTGATCCTACCATTTAATATGATCCAGACTCTTAATATTGTTTTAAACTTGTAAGTATCAAACATTTATGTGGATAAATAATGAAAAGTGGTGAGAAGGCAGCCACATGAGTTGTCATATAAATGTATTAGTAGTTTTAATTCAGATAATTGTTTAAAATTGCTTATAATATGTGCTGGAATCTTGTATTTGGAATGTGTGCTCTTCATGTCATGTCTTCATGTCTTTTATATTTGTTCTTTACAAATATAAAAAACTGCTCTTTTAACACTGACTCACGGAGGCGTATCAATGCGGACCCCATGCGAGGGCCGTGATTACTCACACAGGGATGCACTGGTGCTCTGTGAATCCCCATGGAGGCAGTCATATTGATGTCTATTGAGACGTAGAAGCTGCATGAACACAGTCACAGCTCCCAATGTGACATCCATGTGAGTGCAGGGCCCCTAACGCAGACAATGTGAGTTCCAGGGCACACACCGTATTTATATGGAAGTCAGAGAGTGAGCAGTGGATGTGACCATGCAGCCACTGCTTCACAATAGTCATCAATGGGTATTTCTGCACAATGGTGCACGGAACATCTGTGCAGGTAAATTTGGCTCTCACACCAGATATGCATTGATACACCCCATGTGAAAAATGCCTAAATTATTTACTTACATTTTTTGGCACTCTTAAAGTTTCAGATAGACTTATATGTCTATAAACTCTCTTTTAGAATAATATCAGCAGGCAAAAACATAAAAAGTAAAATGTCTGAGTATGAATGCAGCCACTTCATGCAAGGACTAGTAAGCTGTAATATATTTCATTTGTGTTCTTGGGTTCAGAAATACTTTAAAAATGCCCAGAACACAGAGATCATAAATTCTGTCAGGACCCTGATTTGAATTTATATTTAGCCCTCTCATTTTGCTAGCTCATACATACTTGGCTGGAAGATCAAATTTTTCCCTTTGCTCAGTTTTGCTATTTTTCAGATGGTTTATATTTTTATCTCTGAAAGATGAGCACCATGGATGCGCAACAGATTCTCCCTACAGCTTGCCTTTCTCAGCAGACTTCTCAGAAATCTCCAGCATGCCTAAAATAAAAGCAGTTTTAAAGCGTTGTGTTATAAAGTGTACAAAGCTTGTATTAAAAATGGAACTGACAAAACAAATGTATCTCTTTTAGCCTAGGCCCATTCTAGAGCTGATGCATAGTCATGCATTTTTCAGTAGTTTTTTTTTTTTTTGTAGCTTGTTTATTACATGCATTTTTGATGCATTTTAGTACCTCGTGCTTTTTTGTTAGGTGGAGGAGACTGTTTTTTAGGGTCTTGAGTAAGGTAGAACAAATGTCCTCATTCCTAATGTAGCCAGATGCTGGCATAAAAACCCTTTAAGGAAAGTTTAAGTGAACTGCACCACATTGTTTGTGGGAGAACAAGTTCCAGCATGTTTGATTGTTGTGATCCCATTGACTTTCTTATGCTCTCTTTGATTGGTCAGTACTGGATATCCAAGAGGAGATACTGAGAAGCTGAACTATGGGAGTTGTTTTATTAAACAGAGGTGGAACCATTCCCTCGTTGGAAGGAAACTACAATTTCCAGGTGTCTGAGCAACCTGGGAGCAGGAGACGACAGAGTCCTTATGAACTGCCTGGGAAAGTCCAGAGAGGAGAAGAAAGCAGATGTCCAGGGTAGAGTGCTGAACCTCCCTAGCACTTGCCTACTAGCATGGCCTATTCACAGGGCCCAAACAACCATAGCTCCCAACTGTCCCTGATTTTGCGGGACTGTCCCTCATTTGGAACAAAGTCCCTCTGTCCCTCCTTCCTCCTCATTTGTCCCTCATTTTGGTCTGATCAATATAGTTGTATACAAAATGCACTATTGAACTATTAAAAAGTGTTTTACAGTGTTGAATCTTTTATCCAGTTTCTAAATTGCTGCATTTGTAAATTTCAAAGCCAATATACAGGAATAGTAGTGGTAAAAAAAAAAGCACTTGTGGGTCTAACCAGTCATATTTTTTTAAAATTCTCCTTTAAGGGGGGGGTGTGCCAGGAGGTGTGTCCTATGTCTACATACTTTTACCTATAGGTGTCCCTCATTCCCATCTCAGAATATTGGGAGGTATGCAACAACACAGAGCAGATTTGACAGTCTACACTCTTCATCTGCAGAGTCATAGAGCGGGTATGTATGTATTCCCTGCATCTATAAAAGCGCAAAGAGGGTATGCTGAAGTTCAATGCATCTTCATTGCAAGTACCTATGGCCGAGGTGCAGGAATCTGGTGAGGGTTGTCATCCCATTTTATGTACTGTACAGCAGAACCGGCAACATTAGTTCATCACTGCCTTACTCTCCTGCTCCTTGGGAATCACCCAACCTATGCAGTCTCCTTAATACCCTTAATACTAACACCTTCAATGTGCAGAACTGCACCACTAACCTAGGATTTCCTGTTGACACGTCACCCCCTCTGAACTCACTGTAGTTTTCACTACTGGTTCATGTCTTACTATGAGTCAACCTCTTCAGTTACTTTTGCTGACAGAAATGACCAAGCTCCATCAGTCTGCACCACGGTAAGCACCCCAACAAAGCTGGCAGAAGCAATTATTGTCTACCCTGTCCTGTCCTATATTCATCTACATAGACTTGCAATCCCAACATTATGTTTTAGGGATCCCCTATGGTGTGTACAGTAAAGTCTAGCAAGCAGACGTGAACCTAACTGGGTCATTTTAGAAGTCTGATGGCAGCATAGCTTCCAGAGAATTTGTACTATACTTGCCAAGTTGTTACTATTGCACTCCTTGAGATCCTGTTACAGTTTAAGCTGATTTGAGTGTTGGTGAATCCCAGGCCTGGTTATTCCTTGCCTTACTTTCTTCAAACTGCAGCATAGTAGGTCTCTATATAGAGTTAAGGTTCTCTACATTTCCTTGCTTGCTGATTGTGTTATTTTGCCCTTATACACAGTATGTGTAAGGGATTTCCAGCAAGACGAATCGCTATCGGAGATGCGCATGCGCATAGGAATTCCCGCAGGAAAATTGTCAGTTCTCCTTGCAAGAATTGCAGAAATGCGCGATCGTGCACACGCACGCACACGTGCACACGCACGGCGGAGATTGGTGCCAGACGGCCTATTTAAGGAGTGTCTCTGCTCATGTTCAGTGCTGACTGGTCTTCAGCTCCCCCGTGTCCTGCTTGTTCCTGTGTGATTCCTTTGTTGCTGACCCGGCTTGTTCCTCACCTGACTCTGATTGCTCTCCTGATTGATACTGGTTCCTGACTTCGGCTCTGCTCCTGACCTTGTCTTCTCCTTCTGATTCTGTAACGTGCTGCCCGACTGTTGATGACCCTGGCTATTCCATGACACTGCTCCTGTCTCTTGTCCTCACTACCTGCGCTGCTCTGGTGCACGCCTGGCAATCTACAAAACCTGCTATGCCTACTACTACTGTGCCAAAATCAGAGGATCATCAGCCTTCCAAGGTCATCATCTGCAAGAGCTGCAAACAACAACTACTGGCGCTCTTGTCCCCCTGGGTCCTAGACTCCCTCTGTTCCAACTCCAGGGGGGTCAGGGCTAGTGACACAAGTGAGGCTGACCTCATCATTTCAGTCTCCCATCAGGTACGTGACAGTATGTACCATCCATTTCACTTCAAGTTGTTTATCTCATTGTAAAGGGGTGTGTCAGAGTGGTCAATTTGGTAAAACAAGTAGCTTGAGCACTAGATTAGTCTCATAGGACCTATCCATTCAGTGGCTCTTTCGGGGGTGCGCTACACTAATAAAATTACCTGCTATGTCATCCCAAACCAAGTTTATTCACATACCCACCAAAAACCAGACCACACCAATGTTTGGATACAAAATGGCTATAGCAGCCTATTATTAACATGTAACAAAAATAACAAACCAATTCCTTTAACACAAAAAAATATATTAAGGTTGCTGATCTTTAAAAATACTAAACCTAAATCTGGTCATTTTGTATCTGCAGAACAATAGGCCTCCAGCTGCAACACACCTGCTCTGGGACAATAACCAAACTATCTGCAGAGACCTCTATGTCCCCAAATCCCAGTTAATCCACCATTAACTGGAATGCACCCAAGGATGCCATACCACAGATGGGTCCCCAACCAGATTAACACTGGTTTTTAACACCTCTAGAGATCACAACCGGCAGGCTGCTATAGTGTCAAACCTAGCAACCATACAGAAAACAGGGAGAATGGGTGGCAGTTCTCTTTGTCCAATGACCACTGACTGAGGTATCCATCTCTCTACCTCCTCCTAGCCTTTTCAAAGCCTCACCTGGACCCATGCTTCTACCAATCAGGTCAGTGAAAACAACATACAAACCACGCGTTATACCCTTTCCACCCATGCATCCCCAGTTCACCCAATGATCTGTGCCTTTTGCTCATTTTTTTTTTTGCTTTGAGCCTACCTATTCACACTGCCCATACACTAAGGCTTGGTTAACACCTACAGGTGTAAGAGGACTGCTTCAGCAACTAATATGGTTATTTGCAGCTTACACAGTAGCTATACAAGAACATTCAGACCTAAACTTCAGCTTTAGTTTAAAAACTAGCAATGTCTATATGGTTTTTTTTACACATTATTTGTGTACAAGCATTGCTCCTGGTGGATGCAGTAATTCATTATTATCTGTACCCAAGCTATATACTGTATTATCTGACCCATAGAGTTGCACTGTGTAAGGCTAAATTTACACTGGCCTCCAACTGTTCTCCACTCACCAATATCCTTTTTAATCCCAATCTCCCGGATAGTCTGTCCCGAGTGCTCCCTTGGGTCGCAACCAACCTTTTCAAACTACGCCACTTGCTACACCCTGTAACTCGGAATCTACAACCATTCTCAGACCTCCAAAAAAAAAGATCTCCTACCTTCCCAACATTTATATGTTTGTCCTCAGATATGCCACTTCTACTCTACCATATCTCCCTCATTGACCCTTGGGAAGCCTACTCCCTTTGAACATCTATGTATACAGGGCCCACATCAAAGGGGCATCATTTCTAATACATATAAACTCCTTATGGATGCTTTCCCCCTATCTAATGACACTCATCATTACATGTGCAAGTGGTCCCAATTTTTACAATGTAACATTGTTCTGACACTGTGGAAGAAAATTTGGGAAAGTGCACCTAGATCTTTTGTTTGCGTGGTTTATATGGAAAATACATACAAAAATATGATGTTGTGGTACAAAACGCCTTAAGTACTCCTTGCCTGTAACAAAAATGCTTCTTCTGCCTGCTAGCGCTGTGGGAAGGACTTTGGCTCTCTCTACCATATTTTTTGGACATGTGGATCAATTACTCCTTTTTGGGAAGAGGTTTTGTCGTTCTTACATTTGCTATTGCATACCTCTCTCTCTTTCGAGCCTTTATACTTTTTATTGAGCCTTCCATTTCCGGGCTTACCCAAATTGTCCAGGAAACTCTCCGCGCATGTTATGACTGCGGACAGAAGAAGCATTCCTATGTGTTGGCTATCCTCTATACCTCCTTCAATGCCGACTTTGTTTAAAATTATTGCTGATGTAAGACAGATGGAATATTTGACCGCTATACATGCTTGTTCAATTGCTGTGTTTGAGGCAGTATGGAACCCATGGGATATCTTTATTTCTTCTCAACCTGCCCAAAATGTACGGTTTTAACAGCCTCTCCACTGTTATTTTGTGACATTATATGTTCTGTACCCATGCAGATTTCTACCATCAATGTGCTTCTTTCTCTTGTTCTTCTTTCAAATGTGATGTATGTATATATATACTGTATGTGAAAACCAATAAAAACTCTTAATTATAAAAAAAAAAAAAAGTCGCACTGTATAAGTTAAGTCCAATATTAAAAAAAGTGCTTTGGATTAAGAAATGCAGGTATCTAGTATCTATATTTCCCAGTATCACTGCCACCCTAATAAACCACATGAAGATCACTTGGTATTTAATACATGCTACGGGGGGGGGGGGGGGGGGTGGCATATAGGAAGCCTAATTAGCATATGCAATTTTACTTTAGTTCTACTTTAATATCATGTTTAGGTGTACTTTCAGCTTTTACAACATTTATGTACAGAATTAACATTTTTTATTTTTTTTTCTTTACAGGGATGACAGCATTATCCAATTATTGGAAGTTCAAAACTAACTTATAACTCTAAGTGCCATTTCAATGCAACTAATAATAAACTTTGCCCATTCTATGTGTTGGCCTTGACACAAGCATTGGGGTTTTGGATATGAAAGACCTTGGATGCGAAAGGCTTGTGTAGTCTTACAATATATACAGTATATATAATTTGAGTATGTATACAGAGTGCAAGGGACATTTTTAATAGTCAGTGATTCTCACCAGTGTCAGGAGAGGGGTTCTGGGGTAGTCCAGTTGGAGAGGAGAGGACTGATTTCAGTACTCTCTGAATTGGTAAGTCCTCATTTGGGACCCAGCATTTGGAGGCTCAGAGACACTCTGGGTGGGAAAAAGCCTTCAAACCCTGATTACAGGGGCTTTGGTCCTAAAAGGGTTAACCCACCTGCAAGGAAGGTTGAAAAGCTGCAGGAAGAAGTCAGCATATGTCTAGAGGTAGACTGGTTCATATGGACTACCAAGAGACCAAGACTCTTTTTTTCCTGAGCTCCTGCAACTTTTCTTGTGCCCCAAATCAGACAGGAACCTTAAAGGATACGTTCACCTTTGGGAACATGCTACATGTTCCACCCATTTTTAGGGTGGGACATGTAACATGCTCCCATAGCAACAGCCTGATGCCCCCTCCCCCCGCCCTGTAACAGATAACACGGGGAGAGGTTTCCCTGTACTATCTGTCACATTTGACAACAGCGCAGAAGAGCAGGATTTCTGTGAATGAATGAACT